AACTGCTGCCTCTTGGCTACTCTTTGGGCCTAAGGGCATGAGTCCCGCAGCACATCCAGGAAAGAGGCCTGCACAGGCCCCGGAACAGGGTCCAGAACCATTGGGCAGAGAATGTAGGGGGTCCAGTGGATGCAGTATGGTCTGGAACAGGCACCACAGCTGCCCCAGGACCCCCCCACCCCCCGTCCCGGCTCCTCACCTCCTGAAGCAGAGCGCAGCTGGAGGAACAGCCCAGGCTAAGGCTCTCTTAAAGCAAAGAGTCCAGGAAAAGGACCCCTCTTGCCCTAAGGGTGAGAATGCTCTAGTCGTATCATTTAACCTTGGGCAAAAGTAGAAGTAATCCCCTCCAATGATTGGTCACCTGCCTATCATCTTTCTGACATAGCTCTGAGATGAATCTGTTGACCAAGAAGATCTATTTCTTTTCTGGTTCTGCTGGACCCGACATTTCCCTTACTTATCTATTATTCAGTTAGATAGAAAATGACTCGCAAGTGCAGGGCAAACTGCCCATCATGATCACATTCCAGTATCATGCAGCTTGAGTCCCAAGTGGCTCCAGGCTGGTAGAATCGTATGAGTTTATTCCTTCTCACCCAAGAGCGCAGGCAATTATTTGCCTTTACTTTCAATACTCCAGTACAGACACACCTGAAGAACCGGAAAAATAAACCTGTGTAGCCAGAAGGACTCACTTCCCCTGTGATGGTATCTGCAGTTGACTTCATGATACCTTCAAAGAAAAAGGATCTTCTATCTCCCGTTCTTATCTTATAGGTTTCCTTAGCAAACATGGACTGAAGTGCTAGGTCCTGAGGCTTCACTCTAAGGAGACTACTGATATTATGCAGGACTGCTCTTTTCAACAACGAAACATCCATTTTCACGGAGAGGGCCCCAAACCTTTGTCCTACACATAAAACAGCCCCAGGGCAAAGCTAGTCAAGAAAGAACAGGAGAATGGAGAGTGTTTGTGGCGGAAGTCGGGACAGTGACAAGTTGCTTGAACACAGCTCCTCGCTGAATACCACAGCATGTTCATCTTTTGAAAAAACCTGCAACATGCTGGGTACAAATGACGCCTTTGACACTTTCACCTGAAAAGTTTAGGCGAGAGACTCTGTTTCTCAGTAAAACTCCCTGTCCTTGTCAGTCACCACTACGCCTCCCTGGGGTTGTTTTGTGCCAGTCCTTCCTCAGCCACTGTTGTTGCAACTCTGTACTCTTCTGACTGAGTCTGTCAGGAAGGAGACAGGAAATTCTAGTCACCCGCACAGCAGCTGTGCCATTCCTCCTATCCTCCTCCAATGACGTCGGTTGGCTTTGGTGACACGGGGTCAGGAACTGAGCCACAGTGAAGGTCAGGAAGATAGGTCAGTGTTTATGCTGTTGCTGGGCTGGGGATCCTGCTGAGGCTATTTGCTTTCTTCCTTGCTATACTGTTTCTCTTTCCGCTCCTCTTTTTATAATGCAGAGCCAAAGCATCCTGTTTTGAAAACATCTAACTGTTTGGCCACTGAGGAACTCATGCTCTGATGCATTTCGCTGAGGTGTAAGACAATTCTAATTCAGTAGGCGATGAAAGTTGAAACAAAAATTAATGAGCAAGTCTAAGAAGGCAATCTGTCGTTACAGAAAACAGTTCTAACACGTCTAACTGAACTTGGGCTGCTGGCGGAAGGTTCACTCGACATCCTTTTCATCTTGCAAAACAATGTCATTACCTCGTAAAACTGCTGAATTTATTTCATCTTGTAATTCTCAGGGAAAAATAACCTACAGTATTAATCCACCTGGCTGCATCTTTCTCTGTGATCCTGGAATTCCATTTGGCCTGTGGCCAGCATTAAGAAACTGGGGCCCAGGAGGAGACTAGGTTTCTATAGGTCACAGAACAGTTCCTTATCTCTCAGGCTCTGAAACATACTTGGGAAAACCAGTTATAATCTTTGAGTCACAGTTTTCTTCAAAATATAAAAGGGTTGAGGAAAAACAATAAACACACAACCTTACCCAGATGGGGTAAATATGAAAGACTGCTTGCTTTTCCTCCACTGGGCACAGTCAACTCTCTACCATTCACAAGGTCCCAAACACCCCCCACGCAAAGCATTGGCTTTCCCATCACCACTGTTGAGTAGGTAAAAACTCAGTAAATCACCCAGTTGATCAAAACTAAGGGCATATAATGTTTGCAGAGATGTAGTGGATGTTATTAAGAAGTCATCATTTATTGAATCTTTACTACCCAGCAGGTGCCTTGTGGAGCGCTTCAGACGCATTATCTCATTTCATCTTCACAGTGACCCAGTAAGGTAGGTACCACTTTTATCCCTGTTTTCCAGATGAGAAAATTAAGCCTTAGAACAGTTAGTTAAGTTAGCCGAGGTCAAGTAGCTAGTAAATGATAGAGATAGGATTTGAACCATGATCTTTTGACTCCAAAGCCCATGCTTTTCACATACTTCCTATATGGAACATCTTCAGACTCACTTCCAAGTTTGTAACTCAGAGATTTGCCATGGCTCCTTTGTTCAGTGAGGGGAAACAGAAGATGAGCAGATACAACTACATAGTAGTGATGATGATGATGATGATGATGATGTGGGAAACAAAGGCAGAAGAAAAATTATTAAATTTCCTTACTACCTAGAGCCCACTGACAAGTCCTTGAAACAGGCAGAGTGACATTCTTCTAGGGACTCAACAGCCTCAACGTTAACACTTTGCTAAGGGCAAAAGGCAATCCTAGCCCAAACCCCACATCAATTATATTTTTAAATGGTGACTTGGAAGGAATGTTCAAATAATTTCAACCACATTTGAAATTAAATGCAGGACTGTATTTTTACCACAAATAATTAAGTTCCCCCCAAAAAACTGATATAGATCAATTTCTTTTTGGGGGCCACAAAAATATTCTTATTATATTATGTTACATGTGCCATGGATTAAGCTTTATTTATGAAACAATTATCTAGATAATCAAGATTCTGGGGGGAAACATGGTTGCTAAGTAAAAAGAGAACGAGATCTTTTACAAATGCAACTGACTTTAGCTGTCAGTTAAGCACTATTCATCCACTGGACAATTGCTTTGCCCTACAACCTTTCCACTGTAGGTGTAGAAAGTAGGTGCATGCCTTCTACTTAAGCTAACTGTGTCAGCATTAAGGTTTAGCCCTCTCTTTAGGGTTAGCTCTATTCAACTTTCATTGCTTCCTGCACAGGACACCATAAAGGAGGAGCGGAAGCCTGAAGTGATTGGAATTCTCACTAGGACCTACATAGTCCTTGGTCTCAGAGCCTTATTGACCATTACACTGAATATGAAAAGTTTTTTAAATAAATTTGCAAAACAGACGATGTTTAATTTCAGCACTCCAGACACAAACCTGGTTAGAATCTACAAGGCATCAACAGTCAAAATGAAAAATAATGACAATTTGCAGTTTCTCAATGAGAATTCTTTTTCTCCCCTGTAGTTAGTTGGCTACTTTATCTTAGCAACTCAAGAAGAAAGTTCAGCATGTCTTTTATGGTGAAACCTGCTGAAAAACTACCCTTAAATATTGGATCTACATCTCCTATGGGTATCAATGCTCACAACATGCAGTAAATAGAGGATCCGTTAATGCTCCAAAGTAGGCTAAAGCATGTGTGAAAATCTTTTTACTTGGAATCCAGTGTGGTTTGGAGAAGTTACACAGTTAAGCCCTCCTCATGAGGAAGCAGTTGGTTGAGATTTTCAACAGCCTGGAAAATCCCATTTCAATTGAGAACTTCAGAAAAAAAGTCAGTAAACAGTTAATCTCAAAACTTTTCTTCTTTTTTCCAACTTGAATCTAAACTAAAATTTGGGAAAGAGACTTATTTCATTTTTTGCCCTTTCGTTAAGCAATAAACAAGAATAAGAAGAGTCTATCCCCCCACCCCTAGCCCCCTTCAAAACCTCCTAAGGACACAATGCTCCCTCTGCTCAGATCCTTTGAGCAAGAGCCAGTAAGCCTTGATAGGAAGGCGATACTTTTAACCCCAGGAAAGAGGGAGGAGGGACACACATTCCCTAGTGAACCTTGGGGCTGGAAAGGGCACATTGGCAGGTGTGGAGCAAAATCTTTTCCCAGCCCCCAAACCATAAGACAGTAAGACAATACCTCAGGCTAGGATGATTGGGCATTCTTAAAGTGTGTACTTATAAGGGTACAATGTTAAGGTTTTCCATTAAAAACGAAGCAGTAAGTATATACATATATGCACACACATCATATATATTTATAAAGTTAACATTCTCCAAGGGGGGGAAACAAACAAACAAAAAGCAACAACTCTCACTACATAAATTAGCACTCTAAATCCAGGCGTTAATTAAACAAATGATATAATGATAGATAATTAAAACTTCCATACTAAGTTTTGTCTGGGGATTGTAAACAAAACTATTTCTTTGCAGTACGGGTGGAACTTAATTTCAAATAATTCTACTTTGAAAAGCAGCAAACTTTTAGAAAATAACTTTCTTTTTTGGAGATAAAGTATATTGTTTTTTTTTTATCTCAGGTCATGCCAGCATCACAAAAGGAATGTTAGGAAATCCCAGAATGTCCTTCTGAGAAGAATTTCAGAATTTATAAAACTTCAGAGCAAACCATTCTCTTCACTGATCTATGGAGGTCACTTTAATTTCTTGTCCAAAAAAAAAAAAAAAAGGTGTCTAACACCTGATTGCAATGCAACATGTTATCCACTTTACCCTATGAATTCATTCAGATGTCATCTTACTGATAATTGTTTTTTTAAAAAAAGGATTTTCATTTGTACACAAATAAGCCTTACAAGCACCTCTCACCTTAAACATACTCCCAACTACATCAATTAACAAAGAACTTTGGTTGCTGGTAATTAAAGCACACGGAGGATTTTTAACTTTTGCCGTAGCATCCCGACACAAGCCAAGTGTGGCACTTGGGGACAGAATCTTCAGAGGCAGCTCAGCAAACTCATTCTGACCGCCGGCGTCCTCGGATGCACCTCTGCCTCAGGCAGAGGCCAGGGGAGCCCAGGGGAGCGGGGGAGCTTTCAAGAATAAACCGGTCATCTCTTACCTTGTTCGAAGCCATCTCACTGACAGAGCGGTAGGTCTGGATGGTCTCTAGCTGGTCTAAGCACCAGTCCAATTCCTCCAGCGTCTCCATTGCTAATTTTTGATAAGATTCTTCTGCAAACAAACACACAGGCATGTAGTTAGGCTGGAGCGGCTGCAGGCTGTGCATAGCCGAGTCCCCGCTGCCGCCGCTGATCCCCGAGCTACTGAAGGTGGCCCCGTGCTCCTTCATTATTTGCGCGCCGACTCCTTCCTTCCAGCTCTCTCCACCAGGAGAACGAATCACCGCGGTGCTCTGCCTGGGACGGCTGGTGCCAAGTTTTCACCGCCCCCCCCCACCCCCCGCGGGGATGAGGTGTCCGCGATCTACCAAGAAACTTCCTCTGAGGAAGGAGGCGGGGAACCATCTCTTAGAAGCTCATCTGCATACATGTGTCCTAAAACTAAAGGCAGAAGCAGTTGAGTTTTCTCAGGCTCTCTTGCCTTAGTCATCCTGGGGCTCTTTAGGGTGCGTGATGTCATTTCTGAGTGTTTGCAGTCTGGAGGAGAAATGAGGAAAGCATTTTCTCATTTTGCTTTTCTTCTAAATGAAACACACAGTCGAAAACTTGGAGGGGCGGGGGACAGACAGTTACGTTGGAAGGCTAGGCAGTCATTCATTCCGGGGAATGTGTGCCTGTTGGAGTAACTTTTAACTCAGCAAACACTGACCCACACAAGCAAGAGGTGTAAGCTATTCCTCCCCTCTTCTGAATCCCTCCTTTAAGTAAAGGCAAAATGAGGTTTCCCTGATAAGATGTGGGTCTAAGAGAAACTGGAGTTTTACATGAACACGTTTATTGGCCAGAGTAGGCAGCTCTTGTTATACTAAACAAAGCTAAAACTTCTCTTCTGCAACTGCCAGGATCACAGGGAAATTCTGAACCGGACTTTCAGGTGGAGCCAGATGAGAACACTGCAGATTTTCACTTCGCTTAAAGCCAGGAGGCTTTGATTTGTGGATGTGGGACTCAAGACTTTCTGGAAGTATTTCTTAGTGGTCCATTCAAAAAATATTGTTTTTAAGATCATATTTTTTGCTGGATAATAAAGCTCTTCTGAATGGTCACAACATGTCATTCCGTACCCAAACGTTTGTGAGTCTAAACTAATACTCCAGAGTATTGACTTAAGAACTCTATGTTAATAAACACTGAATTAACTTTATAAATGCTGGATGAATGAATGATGCTATAGACAGTGATAAAAGTCAGTCAGACTCTCCTGCATCCATGCCTGATTTTGAGAGGAACAACATTCATTAATTCCATCAAGCTTTCTGGAATGCAAGCACACAATAGGCACTAATAAAATTAAAAATCTTGTATGGAATTCTATTATAGAGAAGACTTCATACATTCCTGTCAAGTTTAGAATGCATTTTTCCCATGTTCATACAGAAATCCGAGGGAGACCACATACCCTTTTATTATTATTTGACATTTTGTGTGTGTGACACTCACACTTGAAGCAGAAAAGAGAATTAGCACAAGAGAGACCCCAAGGGACTGGGATCCTTGTCCACAGATGCACATTTCAAAGAATCTCTCAAATATGCATACACCTCAGGATAATGTGGGGTTAACATTCAATATCCTGTATGTCATATTTAAAAAGCCACAAAACCACGGGAGGTGACTTCCTCCATTTTTTTCACACTCCTCAAAAATATGCAGATAAGAATTGAGGTGTTTTTAGTAAAACTCGTTTCAAGCCAGACTTACACATACCTTCTCTCCTTTCCTCCTCAGTCTTGCTGGGCTGCTTCAACATGCAGAATCTTGTCACTTACTCTCTAGTGTGTCCAAAACACCTTCCACTTCTTCCCAGGGAGCTTTTCCTGAAGTGCCAAAACTCTCCCATCCCATTCCCAGCCTCATATCAAAGGAAAAGTCCAACCACTTCCCGATTACTTGGGCTTTACTACCTTGGTGTCTTCCGCATCACAACCTGTGGTTCTTGGTACCTAGGATGCTCTGAGCCTTTTGAATGGGTCAATATGCAAAATGACTGTAAGATGATCTATCCCATTTCTCTTTCATGGAGAGGAGAAAAAGGAATCCAATTTCCACTCAGGGTTGACAACGGAAATATAATAATTATGGCAGCAGAAGCACTAGGAAGGAGGACTTTGCAAAGATCCACCAATGAAGGGTTACCTGCACGGCTCATTCACGGTCTATGACCCAGAGCAAGCACAGGAGAGCTCCTAGAATTGATATAGTAGTGACATGCCCGTGACTGGCCAGTGGATGTGACAGGCCCTTACTCTACTGCCCTTTCTTATTGTGGTCAGCTACAATATTTCTTAAGTGAAAGTTTTTGAAGTTAGTGTTGAAGTTAATGAGGAATTTTTCCTTTTCAGATTCTTAATCTATAGTCAAGGCTTTGTGTCCCATTTTAGACCCTTCTTATCCCAGTAACTAAGTCAGGAGGCACAGATGTCAGTGGGCTGAGTGTATGGGTATCGAACTCCTGCTCCTTCTAGGTACAGACAAAGGAAAGGACCGGTGCTGCTCAGGACTGGCCTCCACACTTTAACTTCCTGGCTCCAGCACCAGAGCCAGATCAGGTGCCTACTGGATACTCGGTAAATTCGCAGAGGAATGGAGACCAAAGTGCCTGCCCAAGCAGCCTGCAACTACTTGGCTATCTAGAGGCTGGATGGTGCATCTATAGTACTATGGAAAGAGTAAGAAAGCTTTGGAGTGAGACTCACGCATTTTGAGTTTCTCTTCTACCCTTTACTGTGTGATCCTGGGTCTCAATTTCCTACATCTTAAAATAAGGATAAGAATACTTATCTCATAAAGTTATAAAGGGATTAGAGATAGAGTATATAAAGCTTCTGGTATGTTAGCCAGTTCTCAGTAGATGATCAATACATAGGAGCATAACTATTAATGGTAATCAAAACAACACAGAGGCTTGGCATTTGGGAGTAGGGATATGGTGTTCCCTCAGGCATAAGCATACCATGAGGAGAGTGCAGACCCTCACAGGCCCCCAAGCCCTGTATCTGGTGACTTAGGGCAATACACAGGTCACAAGTTACTGGGGTACCCCTATCCACCAGCTGCCAGACTGATGTGCTGTGCCCCAGCCAGGGGCAGGCTCTGGGGAAGTTGGACATTTCCCTTCCCCACAGTACTGATGCCTCACTCCACAGCAGATAGTTGGCTCCTAAGGATGCCACAAGCTCTGCTTTGGGGCATACTAGATACCTAGATCAGGGTAGGACAAGAGGCTCACTCCCACCAAGACATAGCCTTGTCTACCATGGTACAGCCATGCCAGCCCAGGCCAGGGATGGCTGCTATCATGCCCCATCTGAGACTTTGCAAGGCACACATGCCCAACTCAGACCCTCTCTGCACCTGCACCGAGGGCCCCTCTGGGAATGGATGGCAAGGGTAAGGGACTCTGGATGAGTTCTGGGGGGCCAGGGATCAGGGAAATAGGTGGCTGAGAACACGTCCAGGCGAGGCAGGCAAGTAGCCAAAAAAAGGTGGGGTAGCATATGAGCCCAGCCTCCAAGCCACTGGAGTATACTCTATTTTCCCCTCAGACTTCACTTCCAAACACAAGATCAGAGATAAAATTATTACACGTTTCAAGACAGCAGCGATGGCGCCCTGCTGGATGTGGGAACCACTCTACATCTTGCGCAGGTTGCATGTCCATGAAGATGGTCATTTCCTGTCTTGCAAAATTGGCTCTGAGAAGGAACAATGCTTAATACCACAGAAGCAAGTCTCAAGGGGCTAAGAGCAGGTGATGGGACCATGTATGGTCATGGGGTTGACCCTACTGTCACAGATTTCCAGAGGGACAAGGAGAACCAACCTCCTATGTGTCCTTCCCCCTAACAAGAGTGGCAAAGGGAGATTAACTTCCTCTTGTAAGTCTGGTAGGTACTGCATTTGACCCTGAGAAACAGGAAGAGAGAATGGATAAATAATTATAGTTAATATTAATCTGGTAATAATATGTGGCATTCATAAAGTCCTCTTCTCAAAGGAGCTCTAAGCACACTACTCATTTATCCTTGCGACATCTCTCTGATAGCCACTGAAGAGGTATGATTATCTCCAACTTACCTTAAGGCACAAGCCAAGAAGTCAGAGGTTAAATTACTAGAGCAAGATTCCTGGCAAGACCATATCTTGGTCTATGAACTAAAGGATTCAGCTTCGCACAAAAAATGCACGAATCCCCGAAAATGCTGATTTAAAGTGGTGTCTTACCCTTGGGTATTTTCTATTTAAAATTGTGTAATTGCTTTCTTAAATGTTGTCACCTTCTTGAGTCTCTTCCCTTTTCTGCTGTATCTAACACAGGGAGTAGCACAGGGAGGCTGTGCAGTATTTACTCAGAAGAGCTGGAGTGGTTCTGGTCCTTCCTCTTGCTTCAGTGTCTGACCTAAGGCAAGTTACCTGAGTGCGCTGAGACTAAATTTCTTTATCTGGAAAATGAGGGTTAAGAAGAAGACTTACCCTAATCTCACAGGGAAGGTAGAATAGGAGAATGCACACAAAACCACACTGTCGACCTTTAAGTATTGTGCACATTTTGTAAATATCACATGTATGATTACAGATGGGATATCAGTATGTTAGAGAAAATTACAGAGAAACAGAAATTTGAAATGACAAGAACGTCACATTTTTACTAAGATCACCATTATTAATGTGCATGTATGTCTATGTATGTGCATGGAGATCATATTATACAAACTATTGAGTTACACTCTTTTTTTCAGTCAATGATGTCCCCTTTTCTGTTTTAATAGTTTTCCAATTCAGCTAATAGTTAGCCCACATTCCAATTTCCCCAGGTTTTTTTTCCCCCTCACAAATCCAGCAGAAATGTGTGTGTGTGTGTGTGTGTGTGTGTGTGTTTGTGTGGAGAGAGAGAGAGAGAGAGAGAGGTGTGGGAAAGGAAAGACCCAGAGATGGGACGGGAAAGGGTAATGAGAAATCTCAGCCTGGCCACGAAAGGGCTAGCTCCTCATAGCTGGAAAACATGGAAATAGATTTTAGCAGTAATGAAGTTAGTGGCCCCGCTAGTAACAGACCTCAGGTGCCCTAAGAGTTGGCCCCACACTCAGTGCAAGAAAGTGTTATTATCCCACTGATCTCTGGGAAAAGTGGAGACAGAGGCCATTTACACACCTATATCATTTAAACTTTGAAACCCTATGTATCATAATTCTTAATACAGATGAGAATTCAGCAAGTGAGAGCAACACATTATAGCCCAAATATAAATTTTCTACAAACAATATCTCAATGCAATTTTTTATTGAGGTATGATTGACATACAAAAAAGCTGTGCATATTTAATGTGTACACCTTGATGAGTTTGAAGATAAGCATACACCTGTGAAGCCGTCACCATAAACAATGTCATAAACTTACCCATCATCTCTAAAAGTTTTCTCCCTCCCTCAGTGTGTGTGTGTGTGTGTGTGTGTGTGTGTGTGCATGTGTGTGTTATGAGAATATTTAACATAAGATCTACCCTCTTAACCAATTTTTAAGTATATGACACATTATTGTTTACTATATGCACCACGCTATACAGTAGTCTTTAGGACTTACTCACTTTCATATCTGAAACTATGTACTTTTTGACCAGCACCTTCCCAATCCCCTTTCCCCCAGCCCTTGGTAACTACCAGTCTACTCTCAGTTTTTATGTGTTTTACTATTTTAGATTCCTGATATAAGGGATCATTCTAAATGCAATTTGAAGATAGCTCCATATGTATCAGAAACATATCCATCAAGTCATTCCACTTTCTACCCAAAGATAGCACATAGAAAAGAAATGTAAGTAACCTCTTATTTAGCTGCCTCACATAATCAAACTCTTGCCAGTAGCAAAGGTGGTAGTTATTTGCAAGGTTGTATAGTAGTTAAATCAATCAGAACCACTCCACATGCAACAACAAGGATGAATCTAATAAATATAAATGTCAAGCAAAAGAAACCAGATATTGCAAAGTACATAAGAATGGGATTCAATTTATATGAAGTTCAAAAGAGGCAAAAATGAATCTATGATATCAGAAGTCAAGATATTAGTTACTGTGGAGGGCTAGTGACTGGAAGGCACTTAGCGGGGGAGGGCTTCTACGGGGACTGGTAATGGTCCCTTTCTTGCTCTGACTACTAATTACATGAGTGTGTTCATTTTATGAAAATTCACTGACTCCTAACACTTGTGATCTGTGCACTGTTCTCCATCTTTCTGATTTTCCATGTATGCTTTCAACAGATAGTCCCATCCAGGGAAGCCCACTTTAAAAAACAAAGAACAGGATTTCTAAAAAAACACATATTTCCTTTCCTTTTGTTGAACTATAGCAATGGGTATCAACAGAATTTGAATAAATCTAACACAGCTGAAAAACAGCTCCCCCAAATATGTTAGTTTATATTGCATCGGCCAGGATGCTCCTACTAACTCAAAATTCAGTGAAACACATGGGAGTCTGACCCAGACGTTTATAAATCCTGATGGTGCCATTCATTTACTAGCAGTGTAACCTTAGACAAGATGAGTATTCTGACTATGCCTCTGTTTCTTTACCTATAAAACAGGAAGATGGCATAAACAGCTGTGAGAATTAAGGGAAGCAACCCATGCCAAGTGTTTGATACAGTGCTGGCATGTGTTAGGAAGTTTTTGTTGCCCCCATCCCCCCCATCCCCAACCCTCTCCCGGTTCCTGGTCACTTTCCTGGAGGCAGATTGCCACATATTTGATAACTGAGTTGGGTGGAGTTTTGGTCTGGCCCTAGGGAGAGAAGTACGTGTAAGTGGCCATGAAATCCTAAAGTGTCCCTCCCACTGTCTGACCTCAGAAAGACCTGCCTCTTGGTTAGGTTAGAGTTTGTTGGTGTTCACTTCTAAAATACAGACCTGGCCTGATATATCATTCTGCTTTCACCAAATCCTGACTGATACACCAGATCAGTGGACCTTCAGATGTAGTTTGTTCATTTATTCATTCCACAAAAATACATTGAGTATTTGGTATATGCCAAGACTGATGCTAGGGGCTGGGTGTTACCGCAACGAACAAGACATGGTCCATTGCATTCAATGATTACATAAGAAACGTCTTTCCCATTCTCCAAAATTGTCCATCGGTGGAACTGGGTGCCTTAGCAGCTTCCTCCCCCGTACCCCCTGCCCCAAATGTATACATTGCCTTGGTGAAAATTAGAAAAATGTGCCCTCTCTTGGCAGACATAACCCTTGGGCAGAAAGCTTGGGAAGTGACGCATGGGCTGAATTTCAGCTCTCTCCATCACTTGGCTGAGTACCTTTGATCAGTATCCAAACTACACCATGCCCTTACGCAATGGCCCTGTGGCACACGAATATGGGGGCAAACCAGCATGGAGCTTTCCCCCACATGACCGGGAGTGCTCTGTGAAAGCAGAGCACAGAACACAGAGTCACAGCAAAACCGACACTTTTAACCTCAAAATAAAGCAAACCCTTGACATTGAAAGGAAAGTATCCCAAGACCTTCCCTAGCTCTTAATTTGTGAATACCATAATAACTGAAATAGCATTAAATAGGCCTCTATAAAATAGCTTAAAAATTTAATTTGATAGACTAATTATTACCCTTAAATACAGTTTTTGTTTTTGTGACAAAACTTCTAAAGCAAGGGCTCCACAGGAGGAAAAAAATATTAAAGAAGTCCTTCATCAGGAAAACTAAGGAACCACTCTTCTGATCCTTGGAAGTGAGAAGGGTCTATTAATTGGATGCTCTGTATTCAGCTTATGACTCTAGCTTTAGCCACAAGCTTCTAACCCTGTAGATGTCCTCTCTACGCTCTTTGTGCCTTAAAGTTAGCAGGCTTATTTCATTCCTCTGTTGCCCCTCACAGTGCAATAAGTATTTGTTAAAATGCAAAACAGTTTCATACATATGGAAATCAGCCTCTCTTTATTTCAAGGTGTTAAGTTGTGGCTATTGGCCTATTTATTTAGTGGTCTTGGTTATGATTTTTTTTCCCTTATATTAGCAATACCTTTCTTTTCATTGTAGGTTCTTATGTCCAAAGGTATTTCTTTTCTTCTGATGAATAGCTGGTAAATGAAATGTACCTGTGTTAGAGTGCAACATTTCAAGAAGGCATGTTGCTTTAACCTTGAGTAAAACGTTCTTAGAACAAATCACAGAAACTGGAGGACATTTATACATTCTGTAACACAGTTCCTCCAAAGGCAGTTTGTAAGCCCTATGTGGCCTTTCTCTTGGCAGGACTTTGTCAATGTGTCTTTATAAATACATAACTTTGCAATTGCATATGACAGGGATTTCACTGTGGGTGGATTCATGGAAGAAGAGGTTCACTGCCCTCAAGAGAAATAACAGTGAAAAGTAGGTCATTTTGATGCCGATTTCTTTAGCAAACTCCTCTAAGACTACAAGTTAAAAAAACCTCCAATCACAACTAGCTTTTGTACATATAACTTGACAGTTTACCAAGTACTTTCACTTGCAAATCTTAGTTTTTCCTTGAAAAATAAATCCCAGGAGATAGAAATTATTATTATGCAGTATTATTAAACATTTTCCATTATGCATGTGAGGAAGTTGAGGCTTGTTGGTGTTTAATGATTTGCTCAACGTCATCCAACGAGAGAGAGAGAGAGAGAGAGAGAGAGAGAGAGATGAGATGAGAGATTGAGAGAAAGGAGGGAGGGAGGAGGAAGGGGGACAGCCAGCAGGGAGGGAGAGAACCTAACTTCTCTGATTCTAAATTCCATGGTAATTTTTACTAAGCCACGGGGCCTGTTATAAACAAATGGCCCAACTTTTTCTTTCACCCAGGTGGACTCAGACAGGGCAAAACTGGTTCTGATGCACCAGTCTCAAGCTCTATTCCCTTCTGCCCCACCTCCCCTTCTTCCAATGTCCTTCCCCTTACAGAAACCTGCTCTTCAGAAGGACTCTGACTTTGGCATTTACTTACTAAAGGGGATCTGTACGCATCTAGGCAATAACACGCACCATCAATGGGAAAGAGTGCTCAAGGAACTTCATTGTCCACCTGTATTAGTGTTAAAGAGCAGTGACACAAGAAAGTGATCAAAGATGGAGGTAAGTTGCTATCCAAATATTTTTCTAATACGTTAAATATATGCAAGAAATATTTAGGAAGAATATACAATAGTGGTTAAAAGCTTAGTCTTTGGAACCAGACTGCCAGGGCTCATATTCCAATACCACCACTTACTGTTACCTAACATTAAAGAAGTTACTTAACTTCTCTATGCCTCAGTTTCCTCCCCCATGTAAGGAGAATAAAAACAGTAACTATATAATAGATTGTAGTATTTAATTAGTAAATAAATGTGAAATGCTTAGGACAGTACCTGCTGTATTATAAGTACCAGATAATATTGGCTATTTGTTGTTTGTTGGATATGACACAATAAATAATGAGTCGATTGTTAAAAAGTGTTTTGAGTAGATTTGACACACAATTAGTTTCAGGTGCACAGCAAGGTGGTCCAACTTCTCTAAAGGTTATGCCATGCTCACCACAAATGCAGCTATCATCTATCAGCATACAGCACTGTTACAATATCGTCAATCACATCCCCTATGCTCTGCCTTTTGTTCCTGAGATTTAGTCATTCCATAACTGGAAGCCTGTATCTCCTATTCCCCTTCACTCATTTTGCCCATCCTCCTCACCATCTCCTGCAACCATCATTTTATTCCCTATATTTACAGGTTTGATTCTGGTTTTTGTTTGTTTATTCATTTGTTCTTTTAGATCCCACATATGAGTGAAATCATATGGTATTTGTCTTTCTCAGTCTGATTTATTTCACTTAGCATAATGCCCTCTAGGTCCATCGATGCCATTGCAAATGGCATTACATCCTTTTTTATGGCTGTGTAATACACACACACACACATATACACACACAATATATATATATACTATATATACACTATTATATATGCATGCCTATATACATACAAATATATATATACACACATACATATACACACACACACACCAACATATATACACACCATATTAATGAATAGATTCTTTGAGGGACTATTATGTTGTAGGCTCAGCAGGAAACTCTAAGGATATAGTGGTAAATTTTATAGACATTGGTTTTGCTTATTTTAAGCCTATATTCTGGCAGAAATAAAATATTACACAAGAACTTACTTAATTAAAATTGGGAAAGGAGCTAGTAAGAAGTGTAGATGGTCCTAAGAATTTGCCACAGGGATAACAGGGGACCCAAAAGTCTGAGGAGCAGGGATGGGACACAGGGAGTTCGGGGAAAGTTACACCTTGAAAGGTTTTGAGATTCAAAGGAATAAGAATCGAGTACAAGGCCGCCAGGGTGGCTCAGCTGGTTGCACGTCTGGCTCTTGTTTTCGGCTCAGGTTGTGATCTCGGGGTCTTGGGATTGAGCCCTGTGTAGGCAAGGAGTCTGCTTGAGATTCTCTCCCTCTGCCCCTCCCCAGATGGGTCTCTCACTCATAAATGAATAAATAAATAAAATCTTAAAAAAAAAAAGAAAGACTTGGGTACAAACAGGAAAGAACATTCTAGGCAGGGATAATAGCAGGGTATGCTCACCGAACTGAGAGCAGTACCTATGGCAAGAACACAGAGAGAAAAACTGGTATTAGAAGTTTAAATCAGGTCATACACAGCCAAGGAAGGCCATGGAGAGGACTTTGGACTTCGTTCTGGAATCAATGGGAAACCTTTTTGGAACTTTATCAAAGGAGTGGCCTAGCCAAATTTGCATTTTAAAAAGATCACTCTACCTGCAGTTTGGAGAATAAACTTGAAGGCAGGAAAGGAGGCCAGCTAAATTGTATTTAAAAGCCCAGAGTCTGGAGGAAGACCAATAGGAGTTTGATTTCTGGCTCTGCCATTTGATTTATTGACAGTGTGAACCTGGACAAGTTACTTCATTTCTTTAAGTCTTCATTTCCTCATCTTTCCCACAGCATTGTATATCTTTCCCACCAGGTTGTATGCGGAGTAAATGAAGTATCCACATCAAAACACGCAGCAGAGTACCCAGTACCTCGTAAAGTATTCATGCCAGTGGCTAGTAGCATTATTAATTTTATTGCAGTAACCTATGCAGGGGCTGGTGTGGCTAGAATTACAGAGCAGTGGAGATGGAATCGGGTAAATGGGCTTGAGATGCTCACGAGTCGCAATCAGATGGCCTCTAGGAGGGTGGTATTTGGCTGGTGACCAAAACTCCCAGTCATTTCGGCTTTTCAGGTCCAGGACGTGATTTTCGTCAGTGTGATTTGACTTCATTCTGTTTATATTAGTCCAATTCACAAGAACATGTTGAGAAGAGACCAAACGATCAATTTACAGAGAGTAATAATTTATGGGGAGTTTTTCATGTCATCTAGTCATTCCACATTCCTTGACATGGGAGACCAATTTCTATTCATAAGATTGCTTGGTAAGCATGAAATCAGAGCAGGGGGGTTAGTTGGATGATTACGCTGCTTTCCTCAAGCCTGATACACTCAACTTCACTACTGAGGTAGACTGTAGTTGTTTATGCTCTATCTGAAGTACGCTTCCCAGCTTTATTCACCTGGCTAATTTTTACTCCTCTTTTAGGAGTCAGTCTAGAGTTATCTCTACAAAGTTTTTAAAATATTTAAAGGTTGGATTAAGCTCCCTTCCCTTTATTTCCAACTGACCATATTTCATTTAAATTATTTCTCTTGGTTTATCACACCCATTAGATAACCTTCTTGAGAGAAGGGAACATATCTTTTGCCTGATCTTTTATGCAGCGCAGCATCTATTGTCTAGTAGAAGCTCAAAAAATATTGTTTGCACTGCTGACTTGCCTAACATACCAATAGATGGGATATCGATTAACCAAAAGGAATGGGGCCTCTGCTACTGAACAATATTAGAGAAACAATGTCAGGAATTCTTGTTCTTGGCACTCTTTTTATTAGTCGTCAAACAAATCATCTTCTTTTTTGCTGATTTTTCAAAGTTACAGCAATTAATGGACTCTACATTTCTTTTGCATTCATATCTTGATTAGATTTCTTGGTTGGTTAAGTTTGTTGTTGTTGTTTTTTTTTAAAGTAGGCTCCAAGCCCAACATGGTGCTTGATCTCATGACTCTGAGATCAAGAGTCACATGCTCTACCAACTGAACCAGCTAGGTGCCCCTAGGCTGGCTAGTTTTAATATGGGGGACATTTAAGGAGACTTCTGCAAAATCACATGCAGAACTTGTTATTTGACTCTCACTGAAGAGCGGTATTCAGGCACCTTACTGATGGTCTCTGCATCAAGCAATACTAGAATTCCAAATATTTTGACAACTGTCATAAGAAAGATACAAGTAAGTTCAGAGGCAGCACAGATAGATCTTAAAGACATAGGGGAAAGGGAGATCAAGACAGATTTGGAGGCCAGCTAAAGAAGAATGGATGGAATTCTGAGAAATGAAAAAAATGAGGTAAGGCAATGAACAGCATGAATAAAGGTATAAAATTAGAAACACACCACACCATTTTGTTCTGTTTGGGGAGATCAAATACAACAGTCCTATTTGGTTAGAACATTGGGTTTTAGTAAGGGAGTACAGTAGAATAAATTTGCAAAAGTAGGGTGGTCAGGGCAATCTTGAAGAACTTTTTACACTAGACTAAGGTATCTGATTTTACTTGTCAGGCAATGAAGAGTTATTGAAAATTGTTCAACAGAAGAATGGCACACACAAAGTGGCTTATAAATATCTTAATACTGTTTTACAGTTGTGCAATGCTTTGCAGTTATAGATTTCTTTCATATGTACACTCTCTTTCAATCTTCACCATACCTTATCAGAGAGGTATTATTGTCTCTATTTTATACAGGAAGAGACTGATGTCCAGGGAGTTTTAGTGTCTCACTCCAAATCCCGTAAGTGGTAAATGCAGAACCTAGAGACTTGAATCTAGGCTTTCTGACTCTAAGTTCAGTGTTCTTGCTATTACTATGATGCCTATATGAAAATGAATTATTGATCTGATAGCAGTAAATTGTAAGGACTATAGGATGGAGTAAAGAATAAGCACTCGATAAATTATAAATATCATGATTATTACTTGCAGGAAAAGTTAGGACTTAAGAAAAAATGGGGTCCCAAACTGTAGAAGGGTTATTTATACCTTAACTTTATTTTTGCCTGTAGAATGAAAGTTGTCAAAGGAATTTCAAGGATAGAGAGTAGAATAGAAGCAAAGGTTTTTGCCATTAGGAGTAAATATGGTAGGTGGAGAACAAAAGAGGGCTAGAAATTTTCCTGCCTCTCAAGACATTATTAGCCAAATCTCTTTCAACTACCTGTAGGAAAGCCCCATTCACCTGGTGTTCTCCTGGGTGATTGCAGAGAGCAGAAAGCCTACTCCATATAGCCTTTTCTAGTTGACAAAGCACTTTGAAGTTTGCTTATTTTCTTCTGCAAACAAAGCCATGAAAGTTATCCCCATATTTGCGAATGAAATCATTGAGGCTCATCAAGGCAAAGGGACTTGCTTTAGAATCTGGAATTTCTGCCTTGTCCAACATGGGACTTGCTAGTCATGTGTGGCTACTGAGCACTAAGACTTGGCTAGTCTGATGTGATATGATATGTCTAGTCAGTGTGCATGGGTAATATACACACTGGATTTCACGGACTTTGGGTGAAAAAAATCATGCAAAATAGCTCAATAAGTTTTAATATTTGGTTACATGTTGAAATTACAATATTTTAGGTATTATTAAGTAAAGTACATTATTAAAGCTAATTGCATCTGTTTCTTTTTATGTGTTTAGTAGAAAATTTAAAACTATGGGGCTTGCATTATATCTCTATTGGACAGCACTGTTATAGATCATAGCCTATAGCCAGGACTGGAACAGCCCAACATTCATAACCCCACAGATGCTTGTCTTAAAAGAGGTAGTAATAAAGATCATAGTTAACATTCATTGAGTGCCAGTTGCACTTTCTAGGCACTTTACATTCATGAACTAATTTTATCTTCATCAAAATTTCATGACCTGAGTATTATTTTATTGTAAAACA